TTTACAGCAGGACCCCCTGGACCTCCTTACAGGCAGGACCCCCTGGACCTCCTTACAGGCAGGACCCCCTGGACCTCCTTACAGGCAGGACCCCCTGGACCTCTTTACAGGCAGGACCCCCTGGATCCCTTACAGGCATGTTTGGTTTTAGTTGGTGGTTTTCCCCATAAGGTCTGTTCAGGGGTACTGGAGAAGAGAGTCAGATCCAGGAGGAACATTGTGGGTTCTGTCCTGGCTGTGGAACACTGGACCAGCTCTTTACCCTCACTAGGGTCCTCGAGGGGTCATGGGGGTTCACCAAACGTGTTTTGTGGACCTGGAGAAGATGTTCCACCGTGTTCCTCGGGGTACACTGTGGGGGGTGCTCCATGAGTTTGGGATTGGGGGCCAGTTGTTCAGGTTGTTGGGTCCTGATACAAGTGGTGTGAGAGCTTGGTTTGTGTTGCTGCTAGTAAGTCGGACCCTTCAGGGTGGTAGATTAACTCCTCCAGAGCTGCACGTTGTCTCAGATTCTGTTCAGAACTTTTATGGGCAGAACTTCTTGGTGCAGCCAGGGGGTGGAGGGAGTCCAGTTCAGTGGCCTCAGGATTCATCTCCGCTCTTTGCAGACGATGTGGTCCTGTTGGCGTCATCGTGCCGTGATCTTCAGCTCTCACTGGAGCGGTTCACAGCTGAATGTGAAGCAGCTGGGATGAGAACCAGCACCTCTAGATCTGAGACCATGGTCCTCAGTCAGAGGGTGGATTGTTCTCTTCAGGTTGAGGGTGAGGTTCTGCCTCAAGTGGAGGAGTTCAAGTATCTCGGGGTTTTGTTCATGAGTGAGGGAAGAATGGAGCGTGAGATTGACAGATGGATCGGTGCAGCATCTGTAGTATTGTGGACTCTGTGCCGGTCCGTTGTGGTGAAGAGGAGCTGAGCTGTAAGACAAAGTTCTCTGTTTACTGGTCAGTCTACGTTCTTCCCCTCAGCTCTGGTCATGAACTCTGGTAGAGACTGAAAGAATGAGATCTTGGATCCAGGAGGTTGAAATGAGTTTCCTCTGCAGAGCTGGACTCTCCCTCAGAGACAGGGGAGAAGTTCAGTTATCAGGAGAGACTCAGAGCAGAACCACTGCTCCTCCACATCCAGAGGAGACAGTTTAGGAGGTTCAGGCATGTTCAAATGGGAGGAGACCCCAGGGAAGACCCAGGACACACTGGAGAGACCATGTCTCAGTTGGTCTGGGAACACCCTGGAGTCCTCCCAGAAGAGCTGGAAGAGGCTGTGGAGAGAGATGGACCTCCCTGCTCAAGATGCTGCCACCAGACATGAGTCCAGAAAAAGAGGAAGATGATGGATGGATGGATGGATGGATGGATGGATGGATGGATGATGGATGGATGATGGATGGATGGATGGATGGATGGATGGATGGTGGTTTTATGGCATTTGTTGTTGGTTTTGATGGCAGCTGGTGGTAGTTTTTTCTGGTAGTTTGTGGTGTTTTTTCTTGTGGTCTGTCAGGGTTCTGTAGTTCTGGGTCACTGTGACACTGCTTGATATTTTTGTAGTCATCGTCTCTTCTCGTGCTAACACAAGCTAACGTCTGTGCTTCCTGCCAGGTTGCCCTGCTCATCTCCTTCCTGTGTGTGTACTGCACCCATGGCTGGCCCAGCTGGGCGTCCTTCCAGTTCTTCGAGGTGGTGGCGCTGTGGTTCTTCGTGGCTCTCCTCATCTTTCTCCTCATGCACCTGTTCAGGCTGCAGGGGAGGATGCCCTGCATCAACTGGCCGCTGACGGTGAGCACTTTGGGTTTTTATCTCCAACCGTCTCACTTCTGCTCTGAAGACGTTAAACAGGAAGTTCAGCCGTCCGTCTAAAGAAGGAAGGACGTCTCGGTTTCCTTCAAACTGTCAGAAGCTGCTGCTGATCTGTGGATTGTTTGAACTCATAGCATCAAGTCTGTTGATAACATCACGTCAAAATGACCAAACTGTCCCTGTAATGGACACAATATAGATCAAAGTGTCAGAAGCTCTGGTTGGACCCGAAGTAAACCAGTTTGTTCTGTTCCAGGAGTTCTTTCATTACTCGGTGGGGGCCGTCCTCATCTTCATCGCCTCCATCGTCGCTGCTGTCAAATGTGGAGGAGTCTCTGCTCTGGTGGTCGCCTCGGTACGTCCCCAAAACCTCAGTCCACAGACCGGCTCAAAGGAGTCAGGTCCTCAGGCGGGGTCTTGTCCTCGGTGTGGGACACGTCCTCAGGAGTCTGAGATGAAAGGTGTTTCTGATCTGTGAGGTTCTGTGAAATGTTCTGGATGTCAGAATTCCCTCTGAGCTGCCTGTGGTTCTGAAGTTGGACCCAGATGAGACCTCTGTCCCTCTGAGAACAAACGTGTCCTCGTCTGAAGGAGCTGGACGTTTCTTCACTTTATAAAAGACGTTCGTTGAATGTGTCACGATGTCTAACGATGTTTTTCAGGTGTTTGGCTTCATAGCTACGTTCCTGATGGTCGTTAATCTGTGGACGTCCTACAGCGTCGCCTGCGGCCCCCAGGCAGGTAGGTTCTGACCACGTCAGCTGGAGTTTGAGTTTTTTACTTTAATGTTCCGAAGCAGAGGAGCTGTGTGTTTACACACATGAAACAAAAACTGTGAATAAACTCAGCTGATTTCAAATCCTGTCAAACGTTAGTTTTTACTCTGAGACTATAATGTTTCATGAAATATAAATATTAACCTTCAGTGCTCTGTGGGTCAGTAATTAATACAGTTTTATTTATTTGTTCACTTTTACAAAGTGTACAAGCTGAAGCTCCGGATCAAAACTACAACTGTGTTTCTGCAGCTTGGAGTCGGAGCTCGACTCGTTCGGCAGAAGTCACGTGATCCATCGTGTCTGAAGCTTCAAGTGACGTCACTGCTTTGATCCGTGATTCAAAGGTTCATGAGGGAGAACAGTAGATCCTCGTTTATCGCGGGGGAGCCGGACCCTGAAGCCATAAGTGAAAAACCACCAAGTAGGAATAGTAGTACAAGTAGTAAGTAGTAGTTTATTTTAGTATATATATATATATATATATACACAGACCCTTTCCAAAAAATTAGAATATCATGGAAAAGTTGTTTAACTTCCATGATTCCATTCAAAAAGTTAATCTTTAATAGATTATAGATTCAGGGCCCACAATTTAAACTATTTCAAGTATTTATTTGTTTTTTTACATAATTTGAACTTCCAGCTCATGAAACCCACAAAAACAGGATTCAAACAATTAAAATACTGTGAAGACATCAGGCCACACTTCTCAGTTTTTGCAGAAATAAATAAATAAATTAGGATCAGAACAAATCAATCAAAAACTTTCAAATCAATATGTCAATCTTCAATAGTTGGTTGTGAATCTCTTTGTCTTAATCTCTGCCTCGATGTGACGTTGAGACAAGCAGCCTGTGGCACTGACTGGGAGTTATGGAATTGAGACAATCAGCCTGTGGCATTGACTGGGAGTTATGGAA